ATTGAATGAAAAGCATTGCAATTTTTAAACCAGGAATATTTTAATTTTTAGTCTCAGAATCTTTATGCACACAAATGTTAAGCTGTGGAGTTGTATTACCTACACACCCTTAAGATTTCTTTGAAAATTTATTTCTCTTATACATATTTCGTTTGAAAAGTTTGTGCTCAAAGTGAATTAAATGGCGACCCAAGTTAAATTTCTAATTTATTAATATATTATTGATTTTATTTGTGTATTAAGTTATAATATTTCTTTTGCAGTCATTTTCATCTTATACTTCTTGTTGGATATGCCATTTAGCTCCAAAACTTGAGTGTGAAAATTGTTTATTTTTCTGATTTAATATTATTCTTGCTTATAATATTATATATTTTATTTGCTTATTTACTTTATTACTTTTCACTTTTTGTACTTATTCCTTAAATTTATTATTGTTACTTTTATATTTATTTTTTTCTATATACGCATCATCTCCGTAGCGAATTAAAAAAAATCACTTATCTAGGATCTTATTCATCTTCCTGAATAAAGTACATTAAGCTTGAGTTCGTAGCTAATTTTACGGATGTATCTAAATCTTTGATGCTGCAATGGCAACTCTCAAGACAGGCGGTTCTACGCACCAGAGTTGACCTCGATTTAACCCGACGCCCTTTCAGCGACCTAACCGTTTAGATCAACAGGTAACATTAATCTAACGTCACCAAATGAGCAAAACCTCGCAGCTGGGCTGATCCCAATCATTCCTATCAGGATGTTAGATATAACCAGTGCACTGGATGGGGACATCTTGAGGTTAGCCCCCAGGCTAATAGTTCATCGGAACACGATCTTAGTCAAATGCAACTCTTGCTCTGTCCGGTGCTGTCCTCGGACGTGCTCTGTTCTGGGCACAAACTGCAAATAAAGTGATGCCTACGTTGCCCCCGTAGGAGTCTGTCCCACCTGTTTCTAGAAATGCCGTCAACCACCACCAAAGTGCAGTATCCAATCCTGCGAGCAATACAGCAACAACACAATACAGCAACAACAATATCTGGATTGTTAAATAAAACTCGCCAACTTAATTTGCAGCTTCTTTCGTTACANGCTAAAATAGCTCGCGCATCTCTTCGGGTCCGACGAGGCGCGATCACCGAATGAAATTTCCACCCGGTCAGCGCGTCTCGTCGGGCTAGACAGCGACTTGACTTGGTTGCCCCAGAGGAGAGGTTGCAGGTCCTTAGGTGCTCCTCCCACTTTTTCCGCTTATGACTGTTTACGACTCGTCGAATCTCCGCGTTTAAATCCCTGATTAGGGGATTCCCGGGATCGGAGCTTCGGAGGGTGTCGCGCCTGGTTGCTAGTACCGCCGCTTCTGTCGGAAAATTTGGGCGGATTTCCGCACGCAATTCGGCCTGCCGGGATGAAGCGGGCGGCAGCGGTCACGACGACCCTGCGGAATGAGCGTTCACCAGCGGTGACGTCAGTTGGAGTGGGAAGAGCACTAAAGGCGTTCTCGGTAAATTCCGTGAATCCGGGCCAGTTAGCTTTCTTAAAGTTAACGAATGTCCGGTGGTCCGCGGAAACAAAGTCGGGAGGCCTGTCAATCGAGATATGTATGGGCAAGTGGTCCGATGCTAACGTCAGCACAGGCCGCCAGACTATACTGTTTATCAGACCAGCACTCGCAATTGTTATGTCTGGCGAGCTTTGGCAATTACCCATAACTCTGGTGGGGGTGTTATCGTTCATTGTGCAGAATGTCGAATCGTCTATCTGTTCCGCCAGCTCCATTCCTCTACGGTCATTTGACAGGCTAGAATGCCAAAGATCGTGATGCGCGTTAAAGTCGTCCAAAACCAAACGTTTTTCGCCCCTGAGTAGCGCACCTTTGTCAGGGGTGTATCCAGCTGGGCAACTTGTAACTGGAGGAATGTATATATTAAATATTTCGAGCTCGACATCGCCTGACCGGATAGCTATGCCCTGACATTATAGGGTAGTATCCCTGCGGTCGATGTCGCCATCGACGAGACGATACTGCACGGTGTTGTGCAGGATGAACGCTAAGCCCCCGCCATGGTCTCGCTCGCGATCCTTGCGATCTGATCGGGAGGTCAACTTGGTTTCCTGGATCGCAGCAATTGACAGGTGCCCCCGGCTCATATAGTCGACTATCTCGTCAATCTTTCCCTGGAGTCCGTTGCAGTTGAATTGTAGAAGTCGGGTCTGTCTCGGGGGAACGTTCGTGATTCGGGGGATGAGGGAGTGATGCGTGGATGGTGTGTGTTGCTGCTGTACTACCCGCGAGAGTTGGTTCCGCACATTGGTGTTGATTGGCGGAGGGTTTGTAGAGACATGCGGGGGCAGACTCCTACAGCATGGGGCAACGTACGCATCGTTCCACTCACGGGTGGTGCGCAGGCCAGAGCACTTCCGAAAGTGACACCAGCCAGAGCAGAAGTTGCATCTGACTGAGGTCACGTTCCGACGCACTATGGTCTGACACACGGAACAGACAGTGCGGGGGACTAGGAGCTGCTGGATAGCCCTCGCACGGGAGGAGGATGAGGAGCTGGTTGTGGGTGGGGATGGGGGTGGAGGTTGGGGGGAATCATGCTGCGGGGAGCTCCGTAAGACCATGAAGGTCTGCAGATTACCCAGAGTGGGTATGTGTGCTGAAGGCGCTGCCGTGGAGGCTGAGGGTGCGGTTGGACGCTGGCAGCATGGGGCCACATAATTTGTGGTCCATTCCCTGTGGGTCTTAAGGCCTGAGCAGGTCTTAAGATGACTCCAACCATTGCACTGGGTGCATCTAACCGAGGTGGATGAGTGGTGGAGTCTTCTTTGACACACGCAGCAGAAGTAATCCGTCGGTCCAGGGTTGGTTTCTACACCAGCCCTGATCAGAAGGATTTGGAGCAACCCAGCTGCGAAGTGTTGCTCCGTTGACGTACTTAGACTAAGGTTACCTGTAGACCTAAACGGGGTTAGGTCGCCAAAAGGGTGACAGCCCTTGGCCGGATAAAATCCGGGTCAACTCCGGTGCGTAGAACCGGCTGTCGCATCCTCTTCACCGCCGCGGTTACACACGTGGATCATGGGCTACCATCATCGATAAAATTTCCTCTCCCTACTATTGTTTAATTTCCACATTTCGAAACTAACTCCTCCACCAGAAAGAGTTTCTCTCGCTTGATATTGAGTACTAGACATGAAGTAGGCCATTCAGCAACATGCGCAACAACCGCTGGACAGGACGGTGCACAGATAGGCACTAAACGCCATTTACCAGGGGTTAGTTAACAGCTTCAAAAAATCCCTTACCGTGAATGGCGTGCTTGGGGAGAAAGCACCACCTATCACAGACAAGGAGTTCGAGCTGTCTCGAGAGATCCGCGTGGCACTGCCACAACTTAGGACTGTATACTGTAGCAGGATAAACTCTTACCTATCCAGACTCGACCCCAACACACCGAACGTATGCTTTGCATGTGGAGAATCTCCAGAGCTTGGTTGTCCCAGAGGAGAGATTTGCAGGATCTTAAGTTCTTCTCCCATTCTTCAGCTTATGATTATTAACTACTCGCCGAATCTCCCGATTCAAATCCCTAATTAGGAAATTACCGAGATCGGCATTACAAATGGTGGCGCGCTTTGATGCTAAAACCACCGTTTTCGTCGTGAAATTATGACCGATTTCCATAATTCAGCATGCCGGGATGATGACTACGGCAGCGGTCAAGTTAATCCTGCGGAATAAACATTCATCGGCAGCGACGCCCAACGTAGTAAGAGCACTAAGGGCCGTTAATTCCGCGAACTCGCTTCAGTTAACTTTTTTAAAGTTAACATCCCTTTCGACAGCTGTTTCTAAGCCCCGGAGCTAGCCCGAGTTTTATCTGTCCAAGGGCTGTCACCCTTTCAATGACGTAACCCCTTTGAGATCAACAGGTAAAATTAAGTTAAACACACCATCGTTTTCATGATCAATGAGTCGTTCGTATACCAAAATCAGCCGGATATACATTTTCTTTAATGCGCATATGGGGCAGGGATTCAAAAATGTAGCTTAAGGCTTGGTCCTGGGAAGTACTTTGGGGAATGATTTTGCGACTATAACAACAATATAACTTCCTTAATGATACAGATTTTCAGCCAGCTAACTGGAATACCTAAATTCGAGCGTTCGGCGTAGCGTTTACTTACGCCAATGAGTGGCAACGAGCGCTATCCCAATATAAGAGCACTAACGTTTTCGGGTTTTTAATTTCTCTTCTCGTTCGCATTATTTTAAAACCATTTAATAAATTAATTGCATTCATTTCAAACAAGATAATACGAACTTAATCGGTCGGGAAAAGTGTAACTTCACCTGTTGAACAAACTTTTCTGTGAATATATACCATTTTATGTCCAAAATTTAATATTTGTCCAGTTTTTCTTCAATTTGATCATTCCTTTTCGTCAGTTTATCCTCCTTTCTTAAATTTTAATCCTTCACATCTAACTTGATCATATAACGCGGTGCTCAACGTTGACGCCGTAGTTTTGTGGGATGCCCCATACAAATTATATAGCCATGAGGACTTTTGACAGTTGCTTAGCGCTCAACGCTACAATTTAGGGATATCAGCCAACCCGTTTGGTGCTAGCGCTACATATTTTTAGGTTGTATATTTTGTTTTTATTTTTAACTAAAAAAAAATACGAAACTGTATTTAATTCTTCTCTGACCAATTCAAATCTTTCACTTAAAATCTATTATTATTAGATTTTATGGTTATATAATACAAGCTTGTGTAATTGTACTTGTTCCGCATAAATTTCAATTAGCTGTTATCCACGGTTGAAGTTCAAATGTTAAACAATGGAAGTGAAATCCTTTTATACACCAGAAGAATCAACTCTGGAAACAACTTCATAATATCACTCAAATCCCTAAAATTTTAAGCAAAAATTATCCATATCAATAACTTCTTAGTTTCCTTTCTTTTGAATAACCAGACCAAACATTTTTAACACATTGGAATTATTATTTATGAGCTTTTGCGAGTAAACTTAGGTAAAGCTGTACATAATCATTTATATTTTTGCATATAAAGGAACTACTCCTCGAATTTTGGAGCAGGCGACTTGATCTTACTATAATCCCTTATAGGAGAATAAAACTGTAAGAAATCAATTCAATTTAGTAACGAAGAATCACTTCAATACTTATTACTAACTTTGTATTGCTTTTCCTTATATTCCTGCCACGGCTCTGGATTAGATGACCGATTCCAAGTAACATCAGGATTACGTGTAGCTAAACGTAATGTGTAATACACCGCTCCAAGTGCTCCAGCTCCGACACAAACATAAAGGGGAATTAACTACACAGAAATTAAAAGTGTCTAATAATAAAATTTAACTCACCGCCGGATTTTTTTTAAGACTTTGTAATCCCAATCCCTGCATTTTCAAATTGATCCTTTTAGTTAAGTGAAAAATTTACGATCAAATGAGTAAAACAGACTATTTGTTATATAATGGGAAAAGATGAAATCATCGAAAACGTTCCATAGTCGATACCGCCTCAAAATAAATAATCGCATGGGTAGCAAGAGACTTCGAGTAATTCGTTGATAAAGTTCCAATTTCAACTGAAAAATGTTGGCAGCCCTAATTTTTTCGACCATTCAAATCACATTTGTCAGTTGGTAAAGTAAATAGAAGAATATCTCATCCTATCTAGGTAATCAAGTCATAAATAAATGAAGTTAAATATGTAAAATATGACAGGATGACAAAAAAAACTGAATGAAAACCATAACTGCGAATTCAGTAGGGTAATTTTTTCTCGCAACTCCTTGTAATTCTCCTCTTTACACTTTTTCATCTTCAATGAACTCCAGGCGTAAAATAGCCTACACACTTTTTTATTCCTTCTAACTAAGAAGACAAAATCAGAGAGCAAATTTTTTGTTACTTCCTCTTTCGGGTTTGACAAAACTTAAAAGGTGACCGTGAACTCAGAAAAAAATGGCCGTTAGAATGAAAAACTTTGCTGAGACACCTTTGAACAGCAAGTATAGAACTAGATTCATACACATCCTTTTCTAGAAGGGAAATATTTTTGATAAACATTTTACATAAATGCTCAGCTTTGTCGAAAAAAACGCCAATCGATATTTCTTCTTCCCTGAGCCAGACCAACATCAGCTTCGCCTTGAAAAATAGTTTTATAAGAGATGTGCCAGACACTGATTATTTGGCTAACCTGAACGTCTACAGCTCTGCGTTCCCAATCAGATGGTATAGTAGAACAATTGATCTAAACCCTGGAAAAGCACTTGAGAAAGGTCGTGCACAAATATCACGATGGTTGGGATATCCGTATACTTCTGTTGCTAATGGGATATCGGTCCTCAGTGCACGAAAAAACGGGTAAAATACCAGCAAGGCAGCGAGTTTCTGTTGTCTAGTGATTTAAAGTTTGGAGTAAATGGTGATGCGGGAAAAAGACCTAAAAGCGATATAAGCTCTTGTGAGAGAACGAACTTAAATAATGAGTGAAAAGATGAAGGCCAGGTACGATAAGGCGATAAACTTTATAAGTTTTCAAGATGGAAACTTAGTGATGCTATACATAGGAAGAAAGGTTTATTCCAGAAACTTCAATGCAGTAGGGAATGTTCATATAAGATGATCAAACGGCTAAACAGCGTAGTGTATCGAATCGAAACCGTTGAGAATGTGTCTTACCGGGGTTGGCTTAGGTGGAAAGCGGTGCGGCAAAAATATCAAATACAATTAACAGATGAAAATGAGATGCCGACATCTGAAGCACATTCTGAAGCGCGAGTGCTAAATATAATATTCTTTATATCGTAAGAGCATACCAGACACTTCTAGAACTGTGTACGAGAACAATACATATAAGATAGAGGAGAACGGGCAACACAGCGGGGAGGAGGTACAAAAGTAAACTCGGGGACAATATCCGCAAAAATTAAAAATATTAGTGTGAAAATTGTAAAATAGGTAGTCGTGTGGAGTACAGTAAATTATGATTTATTAAGTAATAAATAAACGTTGATTGAATTCTTCACAATTAGGAAAGTGTACTGGCATTCACGCCGAGGGATGGGCGTCTCGCCGCAATCCGCATCAAAGGGAAACTTTAAGTCATATCGTTGGTTTCCACCCACGTTCCGACGTAAGAGAAAGATGATTTGACCAAAGATGTATTTTATGAGCGCCTAGAGCATACTTACGAGCGCTGCCTCTGTTAGAAAATCGTGCTTGGCGCTTGCAATGCCAGGGTGGGCAAAGAAGGTAACTTAGGTACAACTGTTGGACAATTCAGCCTACACAACGATACATCCTCTAATGGGTTGAGGCTGATCGACTTCTCCGAGGCTCGAAATATGGTTGTCTAGATTCCAGCAAAAAAACAAAAATACATCAAGCTGCTTGTCGGTCCCCTGATCGAAAAACACAAAAGCATATCGATCATGTTATGATAGACGGAAGACATGTCTACGCCATTATCTTGTTGAAGCGAAGATACGCATGCGCCTCTGTGTATCGATGAACGCCCGTCAACAAACACAAGGACAGTTCGAAGTCCAATAGCAGCATTCACAAAAAACTACGGAATGGTAAGATGAGGGCTGCCGTGTCGCAGTGGAGAGAAAACAGACTGCCTACCTCGCAACCTTGCGAAAATTCTATTAGATTATATGACTTCAGATTTTGTAAGTCAAACATTGACCAGGTATTCACCATGCCCCAAATCTTGGAAAGGGCCCGTGAAAAGAGGATCGACACTCATCACCACTTCGGCGACTCATCACCACTCCGGCACGAAAAGGAGGTGCCTTTACGCCGCTATGTCTGAATTCGATATCCCCGGAAAACTTTATTAACGTTATGTTAACTGAAGTTAAATAATGCTAAATGCGTAAGGATCAGGAAGAACCTCTCCGAGCCGATCGATACCAAACGAGGTTTCACTGCGGCTTTTTTAACTTATTGCTGCAGAAAATAATACGAGCTGCAAAGCTGAATATAGAATTTGCAGCTGCTAGCGTACATTGACATTATTGGCCTCAACAACCGCACCGTGAGTTCAGCTTTCTGGAACGATGGAACGGTGCGCTGTACGATTTATAAGGTGACATTAACATAGCTCAGCGAATCAAGAAACAGCGGCTACCCTGGCCTGGTCAAGACTTCCACTTCGTTGGAAAGACCAGTTAAAAACATCGCTAAGTCTTTTTTACGATCCGCAAAACGTTATACTATTTTAGGGATAGCTAATATCGTTAAAAATATGCTAAGTCTTAGTTACGATCCGAAAATCATTAAACCATGGTTAGAGAATAGCGAATATCGCTAATACATTTTAACAATCTGAAAATCGTATAAAGTATGAATGAATATTGAAATCGTAAAATTATATTAAGTCATTTTAACGGTCCGCAAATCATTGTAATACGATAGAGAATTCACCTATTGGTAGAATTCTAAGTATTTCCAATTGGCGTTAAACAAAACTAAAAACGAAGAGCGCATTGATGTTAATTAGGCTATAATCGCGTAAGCGATGCTACGTCAGTAAAGTACATAAGTAAGTATTCCGACTGGACTTCTATTAATTGTTTTTAACACCCGAAATTGAATATGGTATTCCAGCGCACAGGGTTTATTGTTCGACGAAACTTTGGCGGCACTGCTTTTTTCGTCCTTGTCAAATTAAAGTAGAAAAAGTAAAGAGAAGAATACTTACATCGAATTGGAAGACGATGCACACCAAATTAGATAAGTTTTATTTATTGATAGGTTAAATAAAAAAATACTTGAACCTAATTATTAAAAATATGCCAAGACGAAAAAAAAGTCTGAATGAAAACGTTACCTTCCAAATTAAAAGAGTTTTTTTTTCTCGCAAACTTCTAAGCATGCGCCCTATTGCTTTATCTGTAATGGCAAGCATTTTGGATTTTATTTTATCTTAAACTAGCAAAAAAAAAAATTAAAACAGTATTGTTACGATTTTACTAAATCACCCTCTATNACTGATGTTAACGCCAACGAGCTCACTTTGTCTAACTTAACTTGGCAGCTGAGTGTCCGCTTATATAGCAGTCGGCTGCTCGCAGACGAAAGCGTAGAAGCATCGAGTTGTTCGCTATCGAAGGTTCTTGTTTTATCGTTTCTAGACTTTACTAGTTATCGGCTTCTCTCTTTCATCTGACATTCGCCTCGCATTTCGCAACAATATGAGCTTACTCTTGCTGTGTGGCAGCACGAGTTTGGCTGATTGTAGCGGACGCTTATACGTCATTTTATTTTTTAAAGTAAACAAACGTGAGAGTGTAATTGTTATGTGCAAAAATGATGGGAAATATTAATTTTTTGTATAAATTAATTATACTACTATATACCTCGACTTATATTTAACATTATTATTATCCTCTAAACACACTTTACAACCCATATAATCAAAACCGACCCAAAAACTAAACTTGTCAAGTACAGCTACTGATCGCTCACGTGTATCTTCTAGTTTATTTTGTTCGAACAGTTTCAACTACGAGTATTCGTTCTCTATCCGAAAGATGCTTTATTTTTTGGCCTCTTCGTAATTCACATGCGTCAGCGAAAACGATACGAAACTTACTCAAAATCATTCAAATTACAGCTGAGAGCGTTCAGAATTGTTATAAAGGAGTTTCAAATTAAATTTTAATTTTTAAGGAAATTGATTCACCTGTAATTCGGCATTTCCACGACAGCCCAATTAGATGCTTCACTGTCTCAATTGTAATTCGCCATTCCAAAACATGGCGATCGAAATTTTATCGAAACCAGCTGATTAATCAAAACATAAGAATGGGAGAATCCCAAGAATATTTGTATGTTAGAGAAGAAAAAAATTAGAAATTATTAAAGAAATTGGCATTCATTACCAATTCAATTCAAGATTTTTTTAGCTTCTGCAAAAATCTTTTATTTTCCATACGTTTTCATATAGAATAAACAAGAGAAACCTAAAATCTGTCGAACTGCGTTCCGCGTGAATGTGGATAAAAGTTTTTCAATGTATTGATTTTTAATTGGAAGTTGGTGGGAAACTAACTTAATAAGGCAATTCCACGACAGCCCATTTACGTGTTTCGCTCTCTATCGTAATTTGCAATTGGAATACATGGCCAACATATTTTTGAGAGTGAATTTCAGTAAAAGTGGGTAAATCATTCTCAATTTCCATGTTAATTACTACCAAATCGCTGTCTTCTCCAATTCTTGACAAAGCTTTATCGTAACCAGCTGCCAAATCAAAACAAGTTAGATCAAAATCATAAAAGAAATCATTAAAACACATAACAAACCCATATCTTTTAAAGAAAAATAATAGAATTTATTGAAGACACTATACTGTCCAGACAGATATAAAATAACTGGCGATGCGAGAAGAATTGGGAAGGTAACGTCTACCGATCTCGAGGAAGAGCTAAGAGAGGTACATGCTCTTGTGAGACAGCGAACTCAAGTTATGAGTGACAAAATGAAGGCCAGGTACGATAAGGCGATAAACTTTAAAAGTTTCCAAAATGGAGATTTGGTGTTGCTGTACAATCCACAACGGAAGAGGGGTTTGTCCCCAAAACTTCAATGTAATTGGGAAGGTCCATACAAGGTAATCAAACGGCTAAATGACGTAGTGTATCGGATCCAAACCGTTGGGAGTACAAGAAACAAGATGAAAGTGGTCCACCTGGAGAGACTTGCTGAGTTTGGAACAGCGAATGTGTCTGATCGGGACGATCAGACTTAGGTGGAGGGCAGTGTTGCGAAAATGCGAGGCGAATGTCAGATGAAAGAGAGAAGCCGATAACTAGTACGTTCTAGAAACGATAAAACAAGAACCTTCCATAGCGAACAATTCGATGCTTCTACGCTTTCGTCTGCGAGCAGCCGACTGCTATATAAAGGCGACACTCAGCTGCAAGTCAAGCTAGTGACAAAGTAAACTCGTTGGCGTTAACATCAGTAAAGTCGTAAAGTAAACACGTTGGAGAGTACATTTAAGTAGAGTGAATTGTGCAAGTTGATGATAGTGATTGTAAATAGTAGAGTGTATTGTAATTGTATTGTGAATTACGGAGTAAATAAAAGACATTAGATAAAATCTTTATAACGAAAGAAACTGCAAATTAAGTTGGCGAGTTTTATTTAACAATCCAGAGATCGTACCCGAAGGATTCAGAAAATCATCGAGGTTGATTTAGCAAAATCGTAACAGTATGTATGTTTGTTAATACGGCAATTCCACGACAGCCCAATTACGTGTTTCGCTCTCTCAATTCCAAATGCGAACTACACCCATACACACGGCACGCAGTTGACAGTTTTCTGTTCCGCTTGTTCCATTTGAAAACGCTTGGAAAGCGAAAGATTTTAGTAGAAATTAACAAAATCTTGAATTGAATTGGTAGTGTAATGCTTGTTTCTTTAATAATTTCTAATATTTTGTGTATTCTATTTTGATTTGTCAGATGGTTTCGATAAATTTTCTATGAGAATTAGTGAAAGTAACGATTTGGTCGTAATTCGCATGGCGATTGGGAATGAATTGCCCACTCTTACTGTAATTCGCTCACGAAATTTTTTATGGCGAATTAAATAGTTCGGCATGTATTTGGAGTGCGAATTGCGATTAAGGCTGCAACTACCCAACGCGCGTACCAGCCGTCCATAGTAATCTATCTTAGGCTGCAACTACCCAACTCACTTACCAGCCGTCCATAAGTGGCGACGAAAAGGCGAGAAAAACACACGAGTTATCGACGCCACTGAGAGCGGAGAAATGTTGCCAGCTGCCTGTGTGTTTGCACACTTTTAAACAAATTCATAATTTTCGTCAACAAATTTCATAATTTATGTGTTCGAATATTAACGAAAATCAAATATGTATTATCTATATGGTAACAAATAATTAGTTACGCATTTATTTTTCATTTCTGTTGAACAAAACTACGCATTATTTTCGATTATTTAATGTTACTTTAAGAAAGGCTATACTGGCAACCTTGTATAGCAACGAAAAATGAGCCGAGCCGGTTTTACGGAAAAATCAAAACTTCGTTGGTTTCTGCGACACAAACGTCAGCAACGCTATGGTAAATCGGTGACAACTTTGTGTTTACATGGCGCTCTCATAAGATAGGTTACTATGGACGGCTGGTACGC